TATTTACATTCATAGTATAATTGGGTTGTGGGATTGTGTAACTTAGAGAGTGAGCTTATAATTCGTTCTCATTCATTGTAGAGAACAAACACTTTGTATTGAGCCTAATTGTGAGGATTCACTTGTAATACACTTGTACACCGAGAGAAGTGTGTGGTGAGAGACGGGGTCGAATCCAAGAGGAGTGACGTCGGTTGACGTGCCTAGGGAGAGGGTATAACCGAGCACTTGAGGAGGAGGACACGGGCTAGGACCAACACTTAGTGTGTGAGGTGTGATTGCATAGTGATTGTATTGTGAGGTGTAAACGTTGTTCGGGTGAACGTAGAAAACCCGGTTGTGATAGTAGAGATCTCCTCGAGGTGAGGAGCGGAGACGTAGGTCGTGGGGACCAAACTCCGTAATCATATTATTTGTTTGTGATTGTATTGGCGCACTTACTTTTATGTTCATATCTTATATCGCATTTGTATATTGCTTGTTGATTATATTGCTCACTATCTAGTTTAGATTGTTTACCCTTGAGTTTTTATATCCTTGCATATACATTGCCTATATCTCTTTGTTAGGATATATCTTGTTGTTCATATTGCTTATCCTATCTCATATAACTTGTTGTATTTCATACTTGCTAGGATAACTTGTTAATTATTTTTCATTGGTATTTAATCGGATTAGATTAGCATAAGACCCTAATCACCCCCCCTAGGGTCTAACATTAGGACATGTGGACTTTTATTCCTATTAGAACTCTTATTCCTTAGATAACAAGGAGTTGTGATCTTCAAGGCTATACAAGAACAATCTTTCAAGCCAATTAGATTCATCAATCTTTAGAGTACCAATCAAGAAGAGAGAGTTCTTTTGTGAAGCATATATGATATTTTTCTTTTTTATTCCTTTTATTTAGAGAGATTGTATGGGAATCTAGGGGTGTTATTTGGGATTTAGTGGTTGAGAGATCTCCACTTTGTATTCCTCACTATTAGTAAACCTATTCTCCTCCTTCGCCCGTGGACGTAGGCTACAAGCCGAACCACGTATATCTTTACGTTTGTGTGTTCTTGATATTTTTCGTGCTCTCGTGTGATTGATATTATCTTATCCTGGGGTCATAACAAATTGGTATCAGAGCACTCAGCTATCGATCGGACGAGAAGATGACGACAACCACTATGAAGTAGGATATCGAGAAGTTTGATGGAAATATCAGTTTTAACATTTGGCAAGTTAGGATGATCGCCATGTTAACACAGAGTAGATTGAAGAAGGCTTTGTTTGGGTAGTCAAAGAAACCGACTACTATGATGAAGGAAGATTGGAACGAGTTGGATGGTAAAGCTCTCATAGTAATCCAGTTATGTTTGACAAACGAAGTTTTGCAAAAAAGTTCTCAAGGAGAAGACATCCGCTGATTTGTGGTCTAAATTGGAGGGTTTGTATTTGATGAATTCGTTCACTAATCGCCTCCTCTTGAAGCAGCGTTTGTACACACTTCGGATGTCGAAAGGAACACCCATCAAATCTCATATTGGTAAATTTAATTTTGTGATTACAAATTTAAGTAAGATTAATGTTAAGATCGATGATAAAGATCAAGCCCTATCGTTATTGTGTTCTTTGCCGCCTTCCTACAAGCATTTCATGGATACTATGATTTACGGTCGAGATTCTATTGGTATCAAGGATGTCAAAGAAAACTTGTTGACTAAGGATATTTTCAACAAAGAGTTAACAACAAGTGAAAGTGATGATAAAACTGATGACTTGTTTGTTCGAGGAAGATCAGAAGAAATGGGCTTTGGAGGTAACATGTATAAGTCAAAGCATAGGAATCTGACCTGCATATATTGCAAGAAGAAAGGGCACATCAAGACCGATTGTTACAGATTGAAGAACAAAAATAAACAAGAAGAGTATGAAGAAAAATTAAATAAGGACTCCGCTAAAGTTGATATTCCTAAAGATATGATTTTGTTGGCTACAGATGATATAAACAGGAGCATGGAAGATTGGATTTTGGATTCGGGTTGTTTCTATCATATGTGTCCTAATCAAGACTGGTTCACCACTTATGAAGCTATTGATGGTGGAACTGGTCTTATGGGGAATAATAATGTCTCATGTAAGACTATTGGGAAATACACAATTTGAATTAAGATGCATGATGGAGTCATCGGGACTTTTACTGATGTTAGGCATGTTCCAGATTTAAGGAAGAATATCATTTCTTTGGGCACTGTTGATAGCATTGGGTGTAATTTTTTAGGTGAAGGTGGTGTTCTTAGGGTTATAAAAGGCTCTCTTATGGTTATGAAAGGAAAGAAGATCGGCAGCTTATATGTTTTGCAGGGTACTACCGTTACCAGTTCGACTGCAGTTGCATCGTCGATATCAGGAGCTGATACTACTAGATTATGGCATATGAGTCTTGGTTATATAAGTGAGCGCAGATTGGCCGAGTTGATTAAGAAATGTCTTTTATATGGACAGAGTACATGAAAATTCAGATTCTGCGAGCATTGCATCTTTGAAAGAAGAAAAGAGTCAACTTTAGTATGGCAGTGCATCAGACTAAATGTTCTTTGAGTTATATCCATTCAGATCTTTGGGAACCTTTTCAAGTTGCCTCGAAGGATGATAGTTCCAGATTTTTATTGACCTTCATTGACAACTACTCCAAGAAGGTTTGGGTCTATTTTTTGAGACATAAATATGAGGTGTTTGTGACTTTCAAGCAGTGAAAGTTTTTGATTGAGAAGCAGACTGGGAGGCTGATTAAGAGGCTTAGAATTAATAATAGCCTTGAGTTTTGTGAAGAAAAATTTAATGAGTTTTGTAAGAATGAGGGAGTCGCTAGATATCGTATAGTCCCTCGCACGCCGCAACAGAATAGAGTGGCAGAATGCATGAACAAAATCCTATTAGAGAAAACTCATTGTATGATGTTCAATGCAGGTTTAGGCAAGGAATGTTGGGCAAAAGCGGTGAATACGGCTTTTTACTTAGTAAATCAATCGCTATCCACTGTTATTAGTTGTAAAACTCCAGAGGAAGTTTGGTCCGGTAAGCCTGCAAATTATTCTAATCTTAGAATATTGGGTTGTCGTGCATATACACATGTTAGTCAAGGGAAACTTGAGCCGCGAGAAAAGAAGTACATATTTCTAGGTTATGCATCGGGTGTTAAAGGTTTTAGGTTGTGGTGTTCTAATCCGAAGTCTCCTAAGATTATTATCAGCCATGATATTACTTTTGATGAATCTGCTATGTTCCATCAGAAATGGTCATCGATTTTAGTTGATGATATGGTGCGCACTACAGGACATAAAGTGGAGTTAGAAATTCGAGATTCAACTCTTCAGCATGATAAAACTACGAGAGTTCAGCAGCCAAATCACGTTCAAGTAGATGAAGCACCTCAGCAGTTGCAGGAAGAGCATGAATACACTATTGCTAGAAATCGGTCTAAATGAGATATTAGATCACCACGAAGATATGAAAATACGGTGGCTTATGCATTGTCGGTTGACAATTTTGTGCCCTTCAGCTATTCAGGAGTTACTTCAGATGATGACTTCGCTAAGCGTTACGGTCGTCGTGCGGAGAATTCAATCGATTTGTTGAGGAGACCTCTTTCAGGTGGCAAGTTCAAGTGGTTCTTGGACTTGATCGATATGTGCCGCACTTAGATGCCCTGTGAGGCTGTTGGAGAAGGTGAAGTAAGTTAGCTTATTTTGGAGTGAGGAATTTTCTACGCATTTGAGTCAAAGTGGAGATTTGTTATAGGTTGTCTCAAATACTCAAATCCATATTGCTTTGGGAGTTCTTTTTATGACTTGGTTTATTTTGATCAAGAGTCCTACTTACATTAGACTTTACACAACCAATCATATTAGAGATTTATCCATACTTGGATTCTTGTTGGGTTTTAGGACATATGGACTTCTATTCCTATTAGAACTCTTATTCCTTAGACAGCAAGGAGTTAGGATCTTCAAGGCTATATAAAAACAGTCTTTCAAGCCAAGTAGATTCATCAATCTTTAAAACGCCAATCAAGAAGAGAGAGTTCTTTTGTGAAGACTATTTGATATTCTTCTCTTTTGTTCCTTTTATTTAGAGAGATTGTACGAAAATCTAGGGGTGTTATTTGGGATTGAGTGATTGAGAGATCTCCAATTTGTATTCATCACCATTAGTAAAGTTATTCTTCTCCTTCGTCCGTAGACGTAGGCTACAAGCCAAACTACGTATATCTTTGTGTTCGTGTGTTCTTGATATTTTTTGTGCTCTAGTGTGATTGATATTAGTTTATCCTAGGGAGTTTGTCATAACAACACACCTATGTATTATCGTTGTAATCCACCAATAAAAGAAATGAGAACATGGCCCCTCTCCTATCCACTAATTGCAAACAGAATTTTTGACACAATTCATAGACAATATAGTCAAAATAATCAGTATCAACTGAGTAACGCCAAAGCGTATAATCCTTAGAATTGGATTGATTCATTTTGGAATGGGCTCACTTTGAATTTTCCAATTATCAAGTGGACCAAACATGAAATGATGGAAGAAATGCAGTGTCCACACAGTAGAGCGTCCTTCCTGTCACGTGTTTATTTTGTCGTGACACGCGACTTTTATAGGATTAGACTTGCTTTTGATAGTAGTGAAGTCAATGGACGGGGTGCGTGACATATTCATGTCACCCAAACCCCATTTCTTGATAGTTCAATCTTTGGCAAGCCAAAAAATGTAGAGAAATTTTGTAGAAAGATTATTTACTAATTGTTAGCTCATATAAACTTTCATGGTACTTTCCACATTTTAATCAATAAATGAGGAACTTGCAAAGTCAGCAACATTCAGTTCAGAAAACAACTAACCAATCCGGACAAAAAGATTCCCATCACTCCTCAAGTCCAACCAGTTATCATCATCATCCAATAATTGAATTGAATCAGCTAACCTTAGAAAAGTCCACATTGACTGCTAGCTCGGTAGATCTATTTTGTTCCTTTCCTCTCTCATTCCATTAGATAAGTCTCCTCTGCTCTCCTATCACTGAAGAAGAAAATTGCAGAGCTAAACAATGGCAGCTGCTGGATTCATCACTGAAAGCAGAAATAAAACTGCTCACTACAATGGAAGGCTAACTCTCTATGTCATCCTCTCCTGTATTATGGCTGGAACTGGTGGGGTCATTTTCGGCTACGATATCGGAATCGCAGGTTTATTTGCAATAAATTTCCCATATATTTTTTTAGTTATGCACTATAATTTTCTTTCTGCTCGACACTTGTTTTTAAGGGTTAATTTGTGATAGGCCCTCTGTACTATTGCCTGACTGTCAATAGACCCCTTGTAGTCCTATTGTTGAGGATAGACCCCTGAGTAACTTAATAACTGAAACTTTCATACATTAATTCTAATATACAAATTAATTAAATAGTGAAATTTTAACAAGATGGAAATTGATTGTAGGTGGCGTGACATCGATGGAGCCGTTCTTAAAGAAATTCTTCCCTCAGGTTTACAGAAAGATGAAACAAGACTCTGATGTTAGTAATTACTGTAAGTTCGAAAGTCAACTGTTGACGTCGTTCACGTCGTCGCTGTATCTGTCTGCACTTGTTGCCTCTTTCTTTGCATCGCCGGTGACCAGAAATTTTGGCCGGAGGGCATCCATGCTTGTGGGTGGGGTGTCATTTATGGCCGGAGCAGCGCTCGGAGGGGCTGCTGTCAATGTGTATATGCTTATATTGGGCAGGCTCTTACTTGGTGTAGGTGTTGGGTTTGCTAATCAGGTATAGTATTGTTACATTTATCACAAAGTATGTTAATTTTAGGCAATTGTATATTAGTTTAAACTAACGTAATGTTACCTATAGGTTAAAAAAACTATTTATTCCTTGTCATATACAGTTGCAGTTATAAATTTGAGCAATTTACGACAACAATTGTAGTTGCATATGTTTGTTTTTTGCGATATCAATACTTGTTGGTCCTATATTGAAGTTTGAAGCAGTTGAAGTTCAATTTATCAAAATGACCCAGTTACATGCTACTGAAGTTGCAGAGAACCAAAGAGCACCAATTCTAAGTGTATCAAACATAACTGTAGTTTGTAATTGTGCATTTACGTAACTGTGCAGTGTGCACATGCACAAGCACTTGCATATCTCACATGCACTTGATTTTGTTTCAGTCAGTTCCTCTATACCTCTCAGAAATGGCTCCTCCTCAATACCGCGGAGCAATCAACAATGGCTTCCAATTCAGCATAAGCATCGGGTTCATCTCTGCAACTTTAATCAATTTCGGAACTGAGAAGCTCAATGGAGACCTTGGCTGGCGAATATCTCTATCCTTAGCATCTGTTCCTGCATTACTCTTAACACTCTCAGCAATCTTCCTCCCTGAAACTCCTAACAATCTCATCCAAAGAGGCGCCGATGTCCAAAAGGCTACTGCATTGCTTCAGAAGATTAGAGGAACTCCTGAAGTTGATGAAGAGATACATGATCTTGTTAAGGCTAGTGAGGCTTCAAAGTCTATTAATCATCCGTTTCAAGAAATTACTCGACAGAAATACCGTCCCCAACTTGTTATGGCCATACTAATTCCGTTCTTCCAGCAGGTAATGTTTTGTTGCAAACAAGTATCCAATCCACGGGTTGATCGTTCTTTTTATGACACTAAAATCATCTTTTTAATCACAGCCGTCTATTGTTTAGCTGACCATTACATTGATTGGTCAAAGTTAAAAGTAGGAACGAATGCAACGCATATGGAGACGATAAGTGTTAGATTTGTAATGAATCATAATCATGCAATATAATAAACAGTTAAAATTAAACAGAATAATCGCCTAATTAATTTTATAGCGAAGAGGATCTATATCTTATTTTACAGGATTTAGATCATCTCTACTAACAAAAATACAGTGGAGAGATTACCTATCAAATGAGCATTATTAATGTTCAGATGTTTGTAATTCATTTCAAATATAGCAGTACTTACCATATTCTCTGTGATTATCACTCATTTCCACTCATCATTTGAGACAATCACAAGCATCCACTGGCAACGCTGATGATTGAAAGTAGTGATTTCTTCATTAGTTTTCGGTAGTAGAGAAATATGTTTACAATGTGACATACCTTTCTTAAAATCCAGTTTAAATGCAATATTGAAGAATTTGAATATGGATTCACTCTAAAATAATTTTAAGATATCTTACGCTAACCAAAATTTCCAAGTTATGACCAGCATTGAGGAATATAATTTTATACTCTACCTTCGCATAATAATAATAATAATAATAATAATAATAATAATAATAATAATAATAATAATAATAAACAGGTCAGGTGACAGGTATCAACGTGATCGCCTTCTACGCACCAGTCCTGTTCCGGAGCATAGGACTAGGCGAGAGCGCCTCCCTCCTGTCTGCCGTCGCAACAGGCGTAATCGGCCTAACCTCCACGTCCATCTCGATGATCTTCGCCGACAAAATCGGCCGGCGAGCCTTGTTCATGATCGGCGGAGTCCAAATGCTCATATCCCAAATAGCCGTCGGCGCAGTTCTCGAATCGAAACTCAAAGATCACGGCGGAGTCGACAAAGACTACGCATACATAGTCTTGATCTTGATCGGAGTCTACGTTGCAGGGTTCGGGTTGTCGTGGGGACCCCTAGGATGGTTAGTCCCAAGCGAGATTTTCCCGTTGGAGATTCGATCGGCGGCAAAGTATTAACTTGGTTGTGAGCAATGTGTTCACGTTTGTTATTGCTCAGACTTTTCTTGAGATGTTGTGTAGTTTTAAGGCTGGGATTTTTTACTTTTTCGGAGGGTGGGTGGTTGTCATGACAGTGTTCGTGTACTTGTTCTTGCCTGAGACTGCAAATGTGCCTATTGAGCAGATGGAGCGGGTTTGGAGGGAGCATTGGTTTTGGAAGAGGATTGTTGGGGATGAAGAGGAGGGAAAGTAAGGGGAAGGAGATGGTTGTGACAACTTCTTCAAGGTAAAAGATTTTTAAGATCTATGATTATAATTGTAAAACTGCAATGTATGCAAAATGAATTTTATCAAAGAGATTTGTCTCTTTATATATATTATACAGTACTAGTCTTAACAATAGCTAGAAATACACCTGAATACTAATTTTTCAAAAGCACATAATAATGCAAACAATCTATAAATCATAGTTTATCTTTACAGATACCCCTAGTTTGGTTTTTTAGGAGGCCTACTTGTCTAAGTTCTCATACTTTTATCTTTTTTCTTTTTTTTGCTGAGTACGGTTTGAGCTCTGCACTCAATAATTCTGTTGGCACTCTTGGTTATGTATGAGCCATGCACTCCAAGAGGAGCATTTTGTTGTACTCAGCTTCTATTTATGTATATGTTATGATGGCTTCTAGTTTTAAAAAAATCTATAAAAAGATCATGCTCCACTAATTAAGCATGGGTGAAGGTTATGGTCAATGTCTAAACCCTAATTTCACTTTCTTCTGTAGTTTCTATTTTTGTTCCAACAATCGCTGGTGAACTCCACTGTGGGAGCGGTCTCCTATGGACTGCCTGGGACCCCAAGCAATTTGGTTGCAATTTTGTGGGCGTTCATGTTGGGAAAATATCAGATACGTTCTGACACCCGTTCTGCGGAATTTGCCCTACCGGATCTTGTGTTAAGCAATGAAAAAAGAAACCACAACAAATCAAAAATTACAAGAATAAGAACACCGAGTTTTAACGAGGTTCGGCAACTTGCCTACGTCCTCGAGAGCCACACAAATAATTTTCTTTATATTAAAGAAGATTACGAAGCTTGTAAAAGAATAAATCTCAACTTGAGATTTCTCAAAAGAAGAACCAACAGAAACTCTGTTGTTCAAATAAAAGGCGCGAGTTTTTCCAACAGGAAAAACTCCTCTCTCTTCAATAAATCGCTACAGGATCACGAGATTTTTCTTCTGAAAAATCTCGGCTCGAAGCTGCTACTGGAGCTCTCCTTAATGCCGCCGCCAGGCTTCTGCAATTAAATCGCTGAGAAAAAACTCAGCTCATTCTCGTGCACAGGGTTCCCTTAAATAGGGAAACCCTAGGGCCAAAACGAGTGAGATCCAGCTGGATCCAACCCAACGCGCAGGCGAGTCCGCCTTCGCCTCCACGTCCGCAGCAGGCGAAACCCTCTCTCCACACGCAGGCGATCTTCACACCTATTCGAGCTCGCCTGACGTTGCTCAAACCCGAGCTCGCCTGTCCTCTATCAAATCCGCCTGCACTCAAAACAGCTTTGATCTCGCCAGCATAAAGGGCCTCGCCTGAAGCCCTAAAACTCGCCAATAGAAGGTCTCGCCCTCGCCAGCTCTGGACTTCGCCCGCACGAGGCTGCCGACCTCGAGTTCGCCAGGAGAGCATCGCCTGCAACCAAGTCGCCTTCGCCCGACTCCAAGCTCCGATCTCGAGCTCGCCTCCGCCGCTTGACCTTGCCGGAGCTCGCCACCGATGAGGTTTGGGTCTACACCTATTTTCTAACAATCTCCCACTTGGAGACCAAACCGCCGTCAGCAAGCTCTCTCTTAACAAGCATCTTCTCATTGTGTGGCTCCGCCCTCATCCCTTACATATGAAGGCCAACTGAAGTTGCGCACAACTCCAGTTTCTGAATGGTGACTGCTTTAGTCAACATATCTGCAGGATTTTGGCTCCCCAAAATCTTTTCCAACTGTAACTTTCCGTCCTCAATCATCGAGCGTATGAAGTGGTAACGTAACTCGATGTGCTTCGTTCTGGCATGAAACACTGGGTTCTTGGCAAGGTGTATAGCACTCTGGCTATTACAATAAAGAACTTCGTTCCCCCGCTTCAGACCCAACTCATCCAGGCACCCGGTTAACCAAATCATTTCCTTACTCGCCTCGGTCACTGCGACATACTCTGCCTCAGTTGTGGATAACGTCACAATCTTCTGCAGACGTGAGACCTAGCTCACTGCTGTCGACCCTAAGGTATAAACATACCCCGTGGTGCTTTGCCTCGTATCATGATCACCGGCAAAATCTGCATCCACGTATCCCTGCAGTATCAACTCTTTTCTCCCGAAACATAGTGGCATATTCGTAGTCCATCTCAGATATCGCAATATCTACTTCACGGCCTCCCAATGCTGTTTCCCTGGGTTGCTTGCAAACCTGCTCACAACTCTCACTGTATGGGCAATATCTGGTCTCGTACAAACCATTGCGTACATCAGACTACCAATGACTGATGAATACGGAACCTTCCTCATGTGCTCCTTCTCTGCATCAGTCTTGGGTGATTGTTCACCAGACAACTTGAACTGGCTTCCAAGGGGCGTGCTAACAACCTTAGCAGTCTGCATGTTGAATCTCTGAAGTACCTTCTCAATGTATTCAGATTGACTCAACTCCAGCGTCCCCTCAGCCGCATCTCGGCTGATCCGCGTCCCAAGAATCTGCTTCGTTACACCCAGATCCTTCATGGCAAACTCCTTTGCTAACTGCTTCTTCAGCTTGTTTATCTCCTGTAAACACGGTCCTGCAACTAACATGTCATCAACATACAGTAATAACACGATATAGCTGGACTCGAACCTCTTAAAGTAACAGCAATGATCTGAATTGCATCTGCCATAGCCATTGCTCTGCATGAAGTTATCGAACTTCTTATGCCACTGCCGTGGGGCCTGTTTCAATCCGTATAAGCTCTTCTTGAGCCTACACACCATCTCTTCCTTTCCTTTCTCAATGAAGCCAACAAGTTGCTTCATGTAGATTTCTTCATCCAAGTCGCCATGAAGAAAGGCAGTCTTCACATCTAACTGCTCAAGGTAGAGATTTTCAGCAACTATAAAGCTCAACACCACCCTGATGGTTGTGAGCTTCACAACGGGGGGAAATATCTCTGTATAATCCACTCCTTCCCGCTGTTGGAACCCCTTTACGACTAATCTGGCCTTGTATCTCTTCCTTCCATCACTCTCCTGCTTGACTCGGTAAACCCACTTGTTATGTAAGGCATTCTTCTGTGCAGGTAGCTGGGCTAACTCCCATGTCTCATTCGAGTGGAGAGAATCCATCTCTTCTTGCATTGCATGCTCCCACTGCTGAGATTCGCTCACTTGCATAGCCTCCTCATAGCATTCTGGTTCTCCGTCATCTGTCAAAAGTAGGTAATCTAGTGACGAGAGATACCTGGGATTCGGTTTGGGTACCCTGGATGACCTCCTAAGCTCCTCGTCCTGGGTAGTCGGTTCTGCACCTGGAGTCTCCACCATTCTTTGGTCAGAATTAACGTTGTCTCCCCTATCTGGAAGTTCCTCCAAATCCATGTACTCAGATGCGTCTGCATCCGTAGTGCTACTCCCACTGCTTTGGCCCGCCTTGGCATTGTCCCTGTCTTTGTACATCACTTCCTCATTGAATATGACGTCTCGGCTCCTGATGATTTTCCTGTTCTTCTCATCCCACAGACGATACCTGAACTCATCAATGCCGTACCCAATGAATGTACATTTCAGTGACTTAGCTTCTAGCTTGTCCCTGACATGGTCACTGATGTGGACATATGCCACGCACCCAAAGACTCTCAAGTGTGAGAGATTAACTTTCTTTCCACTCCAAACCTCTTCTGGAATCCCAAAGTTCAATGGAACTTATGGTCGTGATTTATCAGGTACGCTGCTGGATGCACCGCGTCCGCCCAAAAAGTTTTAGGTAGACCTGCATGTAGACGCATGCTTCTCGCACGCTCTGTCAGCGTTCTGTTCATTCTTTCTGCTACGCCGTTCTGTTGTGGTGTCCCTGGAGTAGTCCTCTCCAAACGAATTCCGTTCAGAGCACAGAACTTCTTGAACTCCTCCAATTCATATTCTCCATCATTGTCTGATCTTAGACACTTCACTTTCAGATCTGTCTCATTTTCCACCATGGCTTTCCACTTCTTGAAGATGCTGAACACCTCCGACTTTGTGCTTCATGAAGTATACCCACACCTTCCTCGAGTGATCGTCGATAAAGGTGACGTAGTATGCCGAACCGTCAAGAGAAGACACGCTAGCTGGAACCCATACATCTGTATGAACAAGCTCTAACTTGTGAGCTTTAGGTGGTCTTTCACCCTTCAGAAAACTAACTCTCTTCTGCTTCCCGAAGATGCAGTCTTCACAAACACCGACTTCCACCGAATCGATGCCAGTTAGCTTCCCTTCTGAGTGTTGAATCTTCATACCCTTCTCACTCATGTGTCACAACCTATTGTGTCACAGATCTGTACTCTCATTGCCTGCAGCAATCGCGAGGGTGTCACTCGCGTGTGAAGTTAGGTAGAGGGTACCGATCTTGTTGCCTCGGGCAACCACCATTGTACCGTTAGAGATTTTCCACGAATCTCCGGTGAATGCTGTAACATAGCCTTCTGCTCCTAGCTGGCCAACCGAAATAAGATTCCTCTTCAACTTTGGTACGTGTCTGATGTTCTTCAGAGACTACTTGGAGCCCTTCAACTGTATTTGCACGTCGCCTCTTCCAATGACACTACAGGGTTCATTATCCCCCAAGTATACTTTTCCAAAGTCCCCTGCTACATAATTCTGAAATAGCCTTCTATTAGCAGTGGCGTGGAATGAGTCTCCCGAATCAATAACCCATGAATCGGAATCGCTATCCATAGCGAGAATCAACGCATCTTGTACAATATGAGCCTCCTGCTCATTTTTCTTCGGTGCTTTACAAGTAGAAGACATGTGGCCCTCCTGGCCGCAGTTCCAATATTTCCCCTTGATAGGTCTCACCTTCGAGTTCGACCTTTTCTTCTTCGACTTCGATCAATTCCTGTTTTGGTTCCCCTTATTATGGCTTCTGCCTCTCTGCTCGAGACTTAGGGCTGAACCTGAACCTTCTAATTCATTCGATTTTCTTCTAACCTCCTCGGATAGAATCATAGCTACCACCTCCTTTAGCTTCAACTTCTCTTTCGCGGTCACGCAACCTGCCCAACTATCCGGCAACTGCGATAGTATCAATAGGGCCTGCACTTCGTCATCGAACTTGATGTCGACTGAGATAAGTTGATCAACAATCGTGTTGAACTCGCTGAGATGCATCGTGAAGGAACATCATTCTGCTATCTTGAGGTTGAATAGCGTCTTGACGAGATGCACCTTATTTAAAGCTGACGGTTGCTCGTACATCGTTGCGAGCGCTTCCATAAGCCCTACCGTCGTCTTCTCCTTTAATAGGTTGCTCGTACATCGTTGCGAGCGCTTCCATAAGCCCTACCGTCGTCTTCTCCTTTAATATATTGTGTGCTACAGATTTTGCGAGGGCCAATCGGACCTGCCCCAGGGCTTTTCGATCTAATATTTCCCAGTCCTCGTCGGATTCTTCTTTCTTCTTTCCTCTTGCTTTACTCATCAACGGACGGTAAAGGTCCTTCTGGTACAGATAGTCTTCCATTTGTGACTTCCAGTAGGCGAAGTCTGATCCGTCAAACTACTCAATTTTAGATTTGCCTTCTTCTGCCATTTCTTACACACACAGATCTGAACAAGGGCTCTGATACCAGTTGTTGGGAAAATATCAGATACGCTCCGACACCCGTTCTGCAGAATTTGCCCTACCGGATCTTGTGTTAAGCAATGGAAAAAAGAAATCACAACAAATCAAAAATTGCAAGAATAAGAACACCGAGTTTTAACGAGGTTCGGCAACTTGCCTACGTCCTCGGGAGCCACACAAATAATTTCCTTTATATTAAAGAAGATTACGAAGCTTGTAAAAGAGTAAATCTCAACTTGAGATTTCTCAAAAGAAGAACCAACAGAAACTCTGTTGTTCAAATAAAAGGCACGAGTTTTTCCAACAGGAAAAACTCCTCTCTCTTCAATAAATCGCTACAGGATCACGAGATTTTTCTTCTGAAAAATCTCGGCTCGAAGCTGCTACTGGAGCTCTCCTTAATGCCGTCGCCAGGCTTCTGCAATTAAATCGCTGAGAAAAAACTCAGCTCATTCTCGTGCACAGGGTTCCCTTAAATAGGGAAACCCTAGGGCCAAAACGAGTGGGATCCAGCTGGATCCAAACCAACGTGATAAACATGAATATTATCTATATTTTGACTATGTTTCACCTACGGATTCATTGTTATTTGATGTATTTCCTTGCATTTTGGCCATGTTAAGCTCCCTAGTTCTTGTTTACTGCTCTCTTTATATATTATGTAGGAATTACTAGAGCTTAGCGCGGATTCGGAGTCAAGAAGGAGTCAAGGAATGCAAGGAAAGTGGCTACACGGTCACCCAGTGTTCAACAACACAGGCGTGTTGATTACAGAAGAAAAGCCCAGAAAGCAGAGCGAAACAGAATTATACACGGCCTGGTCGTGTCGATCTGCACAGCCGTGTTGGATGACAGCAGTCAGTTATCATGCGATCTGAAGCAATATTTGAAGTTATCTTTTAACACGTTTTCCCCAGAATTAAAAGGGAGACGCCCTGAAGCACCTGAGGAGAGACCGGAGGCTGGAGATCTTGATTTTTTCTTTCTTCTTCTTCTCTTCTTCTCTCTAAAAACTCTTAGATTAGGTTTTCTTTTGATTTGGAACCTGCTGTTTGTGGAGAATTGTGTGCAACTTCAACACTACGGTTTATCTTTCTGATCTATCTCAATTTTTAGTTTATGATTATGATCTTATATATTGTTATCATGTTTTCTATTTCAATTATGTGTGAGTAATTGTCTTATCTGGGATTGAACTAGGCTCGGCCATGGTTATGAATTAATGAACTGATTGTTGTTGTTATTGATTGTTCAACTTGCATTATTCAGTTACTAGTATCTAATTGCCTAGGGTTAATTCAATTGGCCACTGATTTAATTCTCTTAGGATGTTGATTTGAACTGAAAGGTTAGATTAACGCCGGAAAATAGTAATTGAACAGGAATTAATTGATCACGAAAGTAGGTTAATTATTCCTTGAGAACATGAGGGATTAACAAGAACTTAATGGGTTTAATTTGGTTTAACACTATGAAAATAGGTTGTTAGGCTGAATTAAGCACGACTTTTAGTCGTCGAAAGAGACTAATAGTTATCATAGGTTAGTCGTTCTTAATGCATTGAGAGATTCGATAACAATTGATTAATTTATTGATTCGAACCAGAGTTGAAACCGAAGTTCAATCCTAGATCCTTTTAATTGAGTGAATTCGTCGTTGATACTAGCTAGCGTGTTTCGTTATTGATAATCAAAAATCATACTTTTTAACACAATTGGTTTAGATAGTCACAAAACAGTGAAAATCAGTAATTAACAACGAAGTCCCTGAGGATACGACCTTGCATCGCTACAACGATATCCGTGCACTTGCGGATTTGAGTGAACAAGTTTTTGGCGCCGTTGCCGGGGACTTCGGCATTGTTAATATTGACTTTTTCATTGTTTGACTAGACTAGACATTTTCTTTCATTTATTTTATTTTTATTTATTTTTTTCGTTTGACTTGTTCTTTTTTTTTTAGTGCAGGCACCCTTGTATGCCCAGATCCTTACGACTTGGAGAACCAATCGAGTGTGATCCCGAGATTGAAAGGACCTTGCGTCATATTAGGAAGAAGGCACGAGAAACAAAGGACAATTTGAAAAGTAAAAAAACCATGGGAGACCAAGAAAACCAAGGCAATCAAGACCGATCCTTGAAGGAGTTTGCATCACCAACCACCCATAGCTCCCAATCTAGCATCTTGAAGCCTAATGTTGCTGCCAACAATTTTGAACTCAAGCCCTCACTCCTCTCCATGGTTCAGCAAAACCAATTTGGAGGCACTCCAACCGAAGACCCAAACCTCCATATCTCAATCTTTCTGGAATATTGTGACACCCTGAAGATGAATGGAGTGTCGGACGATGAAATCAAACTAAGGTTGTTTCCCTTCTCACTAAGAGACAAGGCAAGGGCTTGGCTACAATCACTTCCACCGGGCTCCATCACTACATGGGACCAACTCTCAGAAGCGTTCCTTGCTAAGTACTTCCCTCCGAGCAAAACAGCCCTTGAGAAATCAGATAACAACATTCACTCAAAAAGAAGGGGAGTCATTGTATGATGCATGGGAGAGGTACAAGGATCTTCTAAGGATGTGTCCACATCACGGGTTGGAGGATTAGCTCATAATTCACACTTTCTACAACGGTCTTCTCTACAACACAAGGATGACCGTGGATGCTGCAGCGGGTGGTGCATTGATGAACAAAAGTGTACGAGATGCAAAACAACTCATAGAGGATATGGCGCAGAATCATTTCCAGTGGTCAGGTGAGCGCTCTTTACCCAAAAAGAGCGGGAGGTATGATGTAGATGCATTAGACCACATTGCTTCTAGAGTAGATGCTTTATTTCAAAAATTTGACAAGATGGGCATGAATTCAGTAGCATCTAACTCTACTAACTGTGAAATATGTGGTATCATTGGACATTCTGCTGTGGAATGTCAGATTGGAAACTCCCCTTCCTCTGATGCACCACTATCTGAACATGTTAATTACATGAATAATTTTAATCAGAAAGGGGATCCTTTTTTAAATACATACAACCCGGGATGGAGAATTCATCCTACAAAAATCCATCACAGAACCCAAATCCTCACTCTAATTTTCGACTTCCTGGTTTTTAAGCCCCTAGACTCCCCTACCCCAGTCCCCAAAAGTCTAACTTAGAGAGCTTAATGGAGAATTTTGTTTCATCCCAGAATAAACAAAATGAAGAATTTAGAAATCATAATAAAATCATGAGCGATGCCATCAAAAACCTAACTTCTAAGGTTGACTCTTTAGCCACCCATAATAAAATGTTAGAGAATCAGATCACTCAAGTGGCCCAACAATTGAGCTCTTCTTCCAGACCTTCTGGGATGTTTCCTGGGCAACCTGAAACTAACCCAAAGGGATCTATCAATGCCATCACACTTAGGAGTGGAAAAGAGTTAGAGGGACCAATGATGAGGACTGACCATAAGGATGTGGTTGATGAGAATGAGAAGTTAGTGTCAAGTGAGAAAGAGCACAGTAGTGAGAAAGTTGAGAGATATGTAGCACCTGCACCTTATAAGCCTCCACTACCCTTCCCTCAACGGCAAGTTAAAGCTAAGTTGGAAAAACAGTTTGGGAAATTCATAGAAATCCTTAAAAAATTGCATATTAACATCCCATTTGTTGAAGCCATTTCCCAAATGCCATCCTATGCCAAATTCTTAAAGGAGATTCTATCAAATAAGAGGCGATTAGAGGAATATGAGACTGTAGCCTTGACCCAAGAGTATAGTGACATCATACAAAATAAGCTACCACCTAAGCTTAAAGATCCTGGCTCATTTTCAATTCCTTGCACAATTGGTGATATGTCAATTAATCGTGCTCTATGTGATCTCGGTGCTAGTGTCAGTCTTATGCCACTGTCTATATGTAACAAGTTGCAGATGGGAGACTTGAAGCCCACTACTATCTCCCTCCAATTAGCGGATCGATCGGTTAAACGTCTGGTAGGTATATTAGAGGATGTACCTATCCAGGTTGGTAAATTCTACATCCCGGTTGATTTTGTTATTCTTGAAATTGAGGAGGATTCTCAAATCCCCATTATATTGGGAAGACCTTTCCTTGCCACTGCTGGAGCGATAATTGATGTGAAGTATGGAAAGCTCTCTCTCAATATAGGGGATGAAAAGGTGAATTTTGATTTGTTTTCTGCTATGAAGTTTCCACTAATTGATGATACTTGCTGCAGGATTGATACGATTGATATGGTGGTTAGAGAAGACTTTATTAAATGCATATCAAGTGATCCACTTGAGAAATGCTTAGTAGAGAATGAGGCACCAGTTGACGATGATCAGGAAGTACCTTCCTATGTTACGATGCTTGATGGAAGTCCAACCTGCACCAAAATCACCTACAGCAAAGGACCTGATGCAGTGGCCGAAACTGCAAAAGAGTTGAATGCCCAGGTTGTGTCCATGGACACAGCCGTGTGTCAAAAAAGCAGAAACAGCCCAGAACAGGTTTGTGAAAAGAAAACTGCACCTAAGGTAGAACTAAAACCACTCCCCTCCTCGCTCAGGTATGAATTCTTGGACGCCAATGGTGAATACCCTGTAATTGTTAATGCTGATTTAAGTCACCATGAAGTTGAGAAATTGCTTAAGGTTCTAAGGTTGCATAGGGATGTGATAGGTTATTCCATAGACGATATTAAGGGCATTAATCCATCCATTTGCATGCATCGAATTTTGCTAGAAGAAGGGTACAAAACTTCCATTGAACATCAAAGAAGGCTAAACCCGAACATGAAGGAAGTCGTTAGGAAAGAGGTGCTGAAACTACTTGATGCGGGGATCATCTATCCTATCTCAGATAGCGAATGGGTGAGCCCGGTTCAAGTAGTACCTAAAAAGGGAGGTATGACCGTTGTCAAAAATGAAAAAAATGAGCTAATACCCATTAGAACAGTCACAGGTTGGCGCATGTGCATTGATTATCGAAAACTGAATAAAGCTACCAGAAAAGATCATTTTCCCCTCCCTTTTATCGATCAAATGCTAGAGAGGCTGGCTAGGCATTCTTACTTCTGTTACCTAGATGGATATTCAGGATTCTTTCAAATCCCAATTCATCCTAGCGATCAAGAGAAGACAACATTTACATGTCCATATGGCACTTTTGCTTATAGGAGAATACCATTTGGCCTATGTAACGCCCCGACCACTTTTCAAAGATGTATGACGGCCATATTTTTTGATTTTATTAAGGACATTATGGAGGTCTTTATGGATGATTTTTCAGTCTATGGCATTTCTTTTGATGACTGTTTGCATAACCTTGCTAAGGTCTTAAAGAGATGTAAAGAAATGAACCTCGTGTTAAATTGGGAGAAATGCCATTTTATGGTACAAGAAGGAATTGTTTTAGGTCATTTAATTTCTAATCGGGGTATTGAAGTGGATAGAGCTAAAATTGATATCATTGCTAAGATGCCACCACCGACTAATGTAAAAGGAGTTAGGAGCTTTCTAGGCCATGCCTGGTTCTATAGGCGTTTCATTAAAGATTTTTCTAAGATTGCCAAACCCTTAACCCGCTTGCTTATAAAAGATGTTCCCTTTGCATTTGATCAATCTTGTTTTGATGCTTTTGACAGGTTAAAGGAAGTTTTGACAACTGCCCCAGTTATGAGATCACCTGATTGGAGCATTCCATTCGAGATTATGTGCGACGCAAGTGACTATGCTATCGGGGCTGTTCTTGGGCAAAGGAAAGAAGCGAAAATATACGCTATATACTATGCCAGTAGAACAATGGATGAAGCTCAGATGAACTATGCGACAACAGAAAAAGAACTCCTAGCCGTAGTGTTTACCTTGGATAAATTCCGATCATACCTTGTTGGGTCGAAGGTCATAGTCTTCACAGATCACGCTGCTTTGAAGTACCTCTTGGCTAAAAAGGATGCAAAACCATGACTGCTAAGGTGGATCCTCTTATTACAGGAGTTTGATCTCGAGATAAAAGATAAGAAAGGAACTGACAATGTGGTGGCTGATCATCTCTCTAGGCTCAGGCAAGATATGGATCAAGGAGAAGGTGAAAAGGAGCCATTTGATGATTCATTCCCAGATGACAACCTGTTTGCTGTTAAGCCATTTGATGATTCATTCCCAGATGACAACCTGTTTGCTGTTACAAGTCTTCAAGCCCCTTGGTTCGCTGATTTTGTGAACTATATTTCTGTTTGCTGTTACAAGTCTTCAAGCCCCTTGGTTCGCTGATTTTGTGAACTATATTTCTTGTGGGGTATTACCACCTGAATTGTCCTATCAACAATGCAAGAAGTTCCTATCGGATGTCAAGCACTATTATTGGGATGAACCTTGTCTTTATAAGCGTTGTGCAGATGAAGTATTTAGAAGATGGCTGCCTGAAGAGGAGGTATTAGATGTCATATCCCACTGTCATTCTTCACCATACGGAGGTCATGCAAGCACCACCAAGACCGCCGCTAAAATTTTGCAATCTGGGTTCTATTGGCCTTCACTTTTCAAGGATGTGAGACGTTTCACGCTTAGTTGTGATCGTTGTCAACGAACAGGAAATATCTCACGGAGGAATGAGATGCCACTAAATAACATTTTTGAAGTCGAACTCTTCGACGTGTGGGGGATTGACTTTATGGGACCTTTTCCGCCATCACGCAACAACAAGTATATATTAGTAGCAGTGGATTATGTGTCAAAATGGGCTGAAGCTTTATCATCCCCAACAAATGATGTGAAAGTGGTGGTCAAATTATTTCAAAAGGTCATTTTCCCCCGGTTTGGTGTCCCAAGAGCTGTAATCAGTGATGGAGGATCTCACTTTGCAAACAGGGTCCTAAGTACGCTTTTAAGGAAGTACGGAGTAACTCACAAAATGGCTACACCGTATCATCCTCAAACAAGTGGTCAGGTGGAGATCACTAATCGAGAAATCAAAGGAATCTTGGAGAAGACAGTGTCTCGTTCAAGAAAAGATTGGTCTATGAAGCTAGATGATGTTCTTTGGGCATATCGAACAGCTTATAAGACTCCTATAGGTATGGCACCATTCAGATTGGTCTATGGGAAATCATGTTATTTACCAGTTGAAGTGGAACATAAGGCACATTGGGCTATCAATAACATTCATTTAGATTTGAAAGAAGCAGGGGAACAGAGAAAGCTTCAACTAAATGAACTCGATGAATTAAGGTTGGATGCATATGAGAATGCCAAGATTTACAAAGAAAGAACAAAGAAGTGGCATGATCAACACATCCTTCGTAAAGAATTTACAGAAGGGGACCTGGTACTTTTGTTTAATTCTCGACTCAAGCTTTTTCCGGGAAAACTTCGTTCGAGGTGGTCTGGACCATTCCAAGTGCGTAAAGTATACCCATTTGGGGTTGTCGAAGTATGGAGTGAAGCCACGGGAACCTTCAAGGTCAATGGACAGCGATTAAAGCATTATTTCACAGGAACTCCTGATCGAGAAGTTGGGTACTTTTACCCTTCCCGATTCATCATCATTGTGAGCATTG